GGATAAAACCACAACTGTACTGTGAAATAAGAAAACAAACAAAAAGAACAAATAAAAAAAGCCATCTGAGTCCAGTTTCAGAAAGCATTTTTTAAATTAATTTTATTACTTAAAGCTATTTTACAACAAGCGCTTCACTGAACATTTTTATTTTGCTTCATAATTGTCATTACTGAATATATTTTTCTGCATCAGTTAACTCTGTCGTAACGTTGTCATCAGTCCTTTCTGTAAAAATTCATATACTTTATAAGGAATATCACACTATGATACGGATGGCTGAGAGAGAGAGAGATATTAAGAAATACATTGAACCCTCGAAGAAATAAACCCCAAAACACATTATTCAATTCATGAGGGTGTCCTCGTTGTTGTGATTCCATCCGTGTGTAAATGTAAATGCATGTGTGGACATGCTGACTTCCTGTGTGTGTGCGTGTGTGTTGCCCACCCAGAGTGTACACATGTAGTTCGAGAGGTTAAACTCGGCTGTGGCTCTGATAAATAATTCGATCTGTGTATTCGTATTTACAGCAGCTGCAGCCCCGAAAGCTCTCTCTTTGTGTGGAAAAAAAACAAATAAGTTTAGACTTGGAATGGACCAAGTGAGGCTTCTAAATAAATAAAAATAAAGCAAAACTGATATTCATTTGGCTCATATACGTTGTGCTGAGAGGAGCAAGTCAAGAAATAAAAAAAATAGATATGGATTTTTCCATAATAACCTTCACTCTTATAACTCAGAACACAGAAGTTAATAGAAATGCATGCTCTCGAAATCTTAATCTCGAGTCGTTTCACTCTGTGTCCCGCTGATATTAGTGCAAACATTACAATCTGACACATAAAACCATCTTTGTTGCATAACATCTTAGCAGTATTGCACTACATCTTCATGTGAGTCTCACTCTCTCACACACACAAGCACCCATTTACATATTATACTTATTATTATAACCAACATAAGCTGATAGAAAGGATGGATATTCCTCATATAGCATCATCTATATTTTATACAAGACAGACATGTTCTTTCACGCACACACACACACACACTCACACACAGCTGCATTGCACATGGTTTTCCAATTAGTTTTCCCAGCATGTCATACATATCAGTTCAAAGCTCAAGTGGGAGGTCTGCTTTTCATCACCTGGAACGGTTGACTTGTTGTTGTTGTTGTTGTCATCTTTCCACGTAGCTTTTTGCTGTTTTACAACAATAAAATGGGAAATATGAGCAAACTCAACGACATCGCCCAAAAGAAATCAACAAAAACCTGTTTGGAAATGCATTTCTTTTTCCTTTTTACAGACGTAGTCCTGTTAGAAATTGTCATAAAAAAGATATATATTTATTTATATATATATATATTCATGTATATATTTATATAAGTCATTATTATAATCTTTTAACTTAGCTTTATTTGCGTGGACTCGACAGGGAGAAAGATGCAGAGAAAAGTGGAAGAGAGAGAGAGAGAGAATAAAAGAAGACCTATTCCCTGCACACAGAGGAGTTTCCACTTAGTCACACAGATGCAGACACGCACACGTGCACGCACGCACGCACGCACGCAAACACATATCATGGCTTTTACTGCGGCCACTGCAGACAGTGTGTTTGCCTGCTTGGAGGGGAGGGACAAGGGTCTTTTGGAAGAGTGACCGGCGTGTTGGCGGCGGGCTGAAGCTAAGAGCTGTTTGTGCCTAAAGAGATAACATTCATCCTGGATTCTGACAGGCGGGTCAGAACAGCCAGTACCCCCACCCCCCACGTGGTCACCCCCTCTTCCTGTAGAGAGGTGTGCCACGGTTTACAGCTGAGGTTACGGCTCTGGATGTATGTGAGTGTCACTGGGATGGGTTGTGAGGTCGTGTGTGTGTGTGTGTGTGTGTGTGTGTGTGTGTGTGTGCATAAGAAGGCTGAGGCCTCTTCTTCCTTTCTAGAGACATGCTGAAACGCTCTTTCACAATAAGGGTATAACTGACCGCACATTTTTAATTTATGTTTCGTCAAATCTTCCTCGCATGTTCTTGCTGGTGTAGGTTTCCGGCTATCCAGAATATGGCAAATCCAAAAAAATAAATAAATAAATAACAATTTAAATTCTGAAGTTAAAGACGTTTTTCTTCAAGGAGCTTTTCAAGAGCCCCGTTTACACGAGAACGACCTCTGGAAACGTTAATGGTTTAGGATGGGGGAGTAAATTTAAAACAAAAAGAACTTGCTCACATGAGAACGCTGTAGTTTCCACATCCGGCAGGGTTGCCAGATAAGAAACGATGAACTATTAAACTGTCATTTTGAAATGATTGTATGTTGACCCAAACCGTCATATGTGAGGGTGTTGTAAGAGGAGGTGTGTGTTGTGTTTGGTGAACGTGTGCACAGAAAAGAAGGGTTTAAAAAAAATATATATTTATGTTTATCTGGCAACCCTGATGCCTCAGCTGCATGCATTAAGTATTCAGTGTCTGCATGATCACAGTTACATTTAAACTGGTGAATACAGGAACATTCATTTGGACCCAGGATGTTGTTGGTTTGCTCCTACGTGCTGATAAAGGGTAAGTGGCACTAAAACACTCCACTCTGTCATTTATCAGCTGCTGTTAGAGCGACTTCACACCTGTGGAGTTTTTCCACACCTCTGCCGTGTGTTCTCCCCAAAAACCTCCACTTTAAGACCTGGATTAAAGAAACCTTTGGCTTCAGGGAGAACGAGGGCTGTTGTCGTGTAAACATCTTTAACTTCACAATTTAAGTCTAGTTATTTTGCTTTAATTAATTTTTTTACATCCCTCATTATCTTTTGCCGTCTCTATCTTTGTTGAGGATGCATGCACAAATTCAACATGATGAGTTTTTCATTTTCCTGTCAAACGACTGAAGATGGGTGACAGGTGAGCGGTCCGTCTCAGTTTCTGAGGTGTTCTTCTTATTAAAGTCCACACCAGGAACCAAGAGGAGCTGCACAGAAAAGGCTCCTGGTCAAGAGGGACTCCACAGGACTCAGGTCCTGATTAGGGTTGGTTGTGAATTTCTGGGAAACTTTCCATGGGAAATTTTGGGAATAAACCTTGACTTTAAAGTGTTTAACATTCAGAGATTTTAAATATAAATGTGTTTTAGCACAATCTTAAAACAACCACATTTCACTGTTGAGAGGTAACACCCCCCAAAAAATGGTAAACTAATGTCTGGACACGTAGGGTCAGACGGAAATAAGAACGTGTAAAAAACATTTAGTTCAGAGTTGTAAAACGTTTTTGTTGTGAAATGCAAATTACTGAAACATGCGTTGTTGTCCTGTTTTTAAAACAACAACAAAAAGGCAACATTGAGTAAATGAAATCAATTTAAATGTAGACACTTAAGTTGTTTTGTGATGAGAAATTTGCTCTTTTTCATTATGTTTCAGCAAAAAACAAAACAAACAATTAAACAACATAAAACAACGTGAACATTTTTGTTCCGATAAAGAAACTACAACAACAAGTGGTGCATCAGTTTCGCCCGTTGTTGAGGAATTTGATTAGTGAATGTTTGTAGTTTTGGAGATGAGTGTTTTTCTGGACTGGAATTAAACAGGGGATGTAAATAAACCTTCATGTTTTTGATGAAAGATATTCAAGTGGGGAGGAGTTACACTGGCACCATTTTAGCCACCACCAGGAGCAGTGGAGGAGCCAGGGGGTGGCCAATGGTGGCCTTGACCATGATAAATTATTCTTCAATCACCCCAATCATTTGAGAAAACTATACTTTAAAGAAATATAAAAACTAGAAAGCATAGTTTCCTCAAATGACTGGTGCAGTCAGTGTACATTTATATACTGTATATGGCAGTGGCCATCTTGGATTTTGACGTGGCAACCCAATTTTTTGAAAAGAACCTTTCTTTTGACTCTACATGTAGCCACATACCAAAATGGAAGTTAGTTTTCAAAGTTCTCATGCTCACAACATTTACGGATGAACAGAGGGCATTTTCAAATTCCCCTCTTCGCTCCACAATGTGGGAAAAAAACAAACCTTAGAAATGTTCAAACTCCATTGTTCTCCAAAAGTTGTTTAGTTGTGACAGAGTGATGTCATTAGTGACATCATCATATGCGGTTCAGGTAAATAAATTTATTTCTATAAACCTTTGGTCAAACTCATTGTTTGCCTAGGGTTTGATACAAGTTGTTTAAATTATGGTACTCAAAGTTTTAATTGGGGACTGCCTAAGGCAGCCACCTATTATTATCCGCCTGACAAGAGTTTCTTAACTTTAATTTAATTATTCCATCAACTTTAATGTGGTCCGAACCGCAACGTGTACCCCCACAAATGTTATATCAAAACGACTGGCTCGGAACCGTGATGTGTGCTATTAATTTTAATGGCGTTTCAAGTTACCATGGCGACGTAATTTGCAAACAAAGATGCCATTTTTTGTAATTTTTCATAGACTCTGGTTGCAAATCAAATATCCTGAGCTTAATATGAAAAATACTGTAAAACAGCCACTTTTACAGATATTAAACTGAAATTTGATGTGGTGGTAGCTGAGTGCAATGCCCAATAAATAATGATTTAAAAAAATTCAAGATGGCCACTAAAGCTCAATTTAAATGGCTTCAACTCAGATATTTTACACATATAGAGCTGAAATTTTGTATGGTTATAGCTGAGAGTGTTTCCCATCACGTACTGAGTCAAAATCAAAAATCCAAGATGGCCACCATAGCTTAAAATTAAAAAAATGACTTTAACTCATTGATAATTTGCTATTTTAAGCTGAGATTTGGTACGGTGGTAGTTGAGAGCGAACCTCAGCATATAATAATGTCAAATCAAAAATGCTAAATGGCCGCCACATGGCAGTCCCCGTCAAGGATTCTCCAGGAAATTTCTAGTTAATTCCCATAATTCCCATGGAAAGTTTCCAACTTGAAACATTTTCCAAATTCCCCCAACCCTTAACCTCCCGTGGAAAGTTTCTGCCTTTTTGCCTCCCTGGTCCAAACCCTCTTGTTCTTTTGGTCTTCCCACATTCCTGATTGGAAACAAAGCAGAACAGCCGGGAAGAGGTTAGACAGCCAGGAGATGAAATAATAAAATGTGGACCCAGGGTCTTTCTGAGCACCTCTATCTCGGGGGGAGTGGACTGCTTTTGTTCAGACCTGGTGCTTTCTGTCAGTCTTCCAGCCTGGAGATCCAGATGAAAACCCCTGCAGCTCTCACCTGGCCTCTAAATCTAACTTAAATCTGCCTGCACTCTTGTTTCTTTCCTTAATGTATTCGTTTTGAGGAAAAACGCTTCCGTTCGTGTTTGGATGCGGTCATGTGCAGGTCTGTTGATATCACTAAAGGGTGCAGTCACAGCTCAGAACCAGAGTACATTTTTAATGCTGATTGAACTCAAGTCCTGCGTTCATTAAAGTGGAATACTGACCCAATCTCTTTCAGCTTAACTACACATCACCGTGTTTACAGCTATCAAAAAGTCTCGTTTTTTTATTTGGTATCCTTCGCCTCGCTGTGTCACTTCCTGTTTGTCTCTCTGTGTCATCTGCAGTGATCGCCTTTAAGCACTGACTTTGCCGGAGGACTTTGCAGGCAGGCTCGGCTGTGAGGGTGGTGTCGGTCGGTGGCTCGGTCGGAGAGGGGCGGTCGGTCGGTCGGGTCGGTCGGGGCGGGTGCAGCATCACAGCCTCTCCCGAGTGGGGATCCAGATGTAAGGCCCTGATTGCTCCTCGATCACTGTCTTTACTTTGTGATAAACCTCCTCGAAGCTGTCCCCGTCCACGACAGCTGCAGGCGGGAAACAGCAGCCGGTCAGAAATAAGAAGAAAACAAAAATAAATACAAATAAATTAATAAAAATGAGGAAGTTGTTCATATACAACCGAAGGAGAAACAGATCATAAAAACCGTCTCGCAAACATCAAACAGGAGTCACATTTTTACACATATTTGTTCGTTCAGCTGTTTGATAAAATGTGTCTAAATCACGTTTATCTGGGAAATGATAGAAGTTAGACAGAGATCCAGATGTGTCTGCTGCTGAGATTTGCTCCAAAAGCATCTCTGTAAAGTTAAAAGGCAACAAGCTCAGAGCATTTAACTCGTTCTGGTTTATAGATTTAGTTTGTTGGTGATAATCTTATTGTTTCTATGTGATCAGTTCAAACTGTAAAAAAGACACACACACACACAAAAAAAACATATTAGAAACAAGTAAAATGTGGATAAACAAACAATAAAGATGCTAAAATGTGTCAAATTTGTTGCTCCTCAAACCCTGAGTGAATAAATATTATTCCTTCTTAAACAGAGAGCAGTAAAGTTCAGTCTGAGATGTAAAAATGTTTGTTGCTTTAATTTAATTAATTTATTTTCTTTGATTTAATTTGAACTTGAATTCTAGCAGGAAGTAAAGTACACTGTCTGAGATTTAATTTCCTACAAAATAAAGTTCTGCAGCTGTTTATAATAAAATGTACTGTCTCAAATATAAGTGACTTAAATCATAATAAGATTATCAAACATGTCATGAATGTAGTTTTGACATTTTGTCTTTTTTATGCCATGTTATAATAGAAAATTAGAGCACCAGTGACTCCAGAACAAACACCCAAAGACCCAAGTTAAATAGGCTAATGTCCCCCATTGCAGAAGGATTTAATAGTAAATGTTTGTAATTTGTTTAGACTTGTGTTTTCCTGGACTGGGACTGAACAGAGAATAAAGTAAACCTTAATGTTTTTAATGCGAGATTAAAACACTGTGGAGAAGAGCAGAAAGATTTTCATTTGTTCGAGGCCGTGCAGAGAGATGGATCCTGGTGAGTGGAGGGAAACATTTTATCCACCACCAGGTGCAATGATGGAGCCAGGGGGTGACCAATGGTGGCCTTGGCCCCCATAGATTAATCTTTGACCACCCCAATTATTTGAGGAAACAACACATTTAAGCAATTTAAAAATTAGAAATGAAAGTGGCAGCACGGTGGCGCAGTTGGTAGAGCTGCCGCCTCTCAGCGAGCAGGTCGCCGCGGTTCAAATCCCGGCCGGGGGCCTTTCTGGGTGGAGTTTGCATGTTCTCTTTGTGCACGTGTGGGTTTTCTCCGGGTACTCCTGTTTCCTCCCACAGACCAAAAACATTCACGTTAGGCTGATTGGTAACTCTAAATTGTTCCTAGGTGTGAGTGAGAGAGTGAGAGTTTGTCTCGTTTGTCTCCATGTGTCCCTGTGATGGACTGGAGACCTGTCCAGGGTGTCCCCTGTCCCTCGCACAGTGATGACTGGATATGGGCACCAGTGACCCCCGTGACCCTAAAATGAAGAAGCGGATAAAAGATGATGGATTGATTAGGATGGCATGTATGGTGGTGGCCATCTTGGAATTTGACATGGCAACCCAATTTTAGAAAAGAACCAAGAGCCACATATCAAACTGGAAGTTGGCGCCTCATTTATTTTTCAAGTTCATGCTCACAACTTGCACGGACGGACAGTAGTTCCAAATTCCCACTCTTCGCTCTGTGATGGGGGACAACAACTGAATGCTAAAGTGATTATTTTGGAAACATTTGTTTGATTAAAAGTCATTAACTAGCGCTGTTAATGGATCAGTGCCTGAACATTAAAGCATTTTCCTAAATCGAAACCTTCTGACTTGTATTAGCATGTTCTGCATGTTTTTCCTCTCGCTGCTCTGGTTTGCACAGAAATCTTCTGCTCAGGTTAGATGCCCATTGTGAAACAAACAGACAAGCTATCTGCACCAACATGGGTCTGTGTCAGCTTCTGAGCTCTCTTACCCGAGAAACACTCTAGGAAGTCTAGTTCTAGCTTGAGGGCTCGGTCCATCGCTTTCCTGGCTTGCTCCTCCGTCAGACGAGTGTTGATTTCTCTGTCCAAGCCATACAGAATGTTTTTACTACCAAACACATTTTCTAACGTTTCCTTCAGTATTTAAGGAGCTTTCGATACTTACAGAACATTCTCCAGGGACTTGGGCCGGACAAAAATGGCGATGGGATGAAGCTGAGCTGCCTGTAGTCGGCGCACAGCGTTAGCAGAGACGTCCAGGATGCAGTGCTTCCCCTGCTGCTCGTGCACACGAACGAGGATAAAACAATGAGCATTCATTAGTGAAAAAAACAGTTTGATGATGAAATGATGAAGTCCCCAACAGGATGAAGATTAGTACTGACAAACATGTTTCCAGCACCCGAGGAAACCTTGCGTTATTCATAACGTCTACTGATAAACATTTGTTTTTTTAATTGGATTTCTGATAAATTACTCACAGTTAGAGCAACAGTTCTTTTGAAGTGAGGCTTTTTGGAAAGGTTATGAACAATTAGTGTCTAACCTGTCGCAGATAGCTCTTTGAAGGGTCTAATTTTGGAGAAACAGTGGAATTCTGACATGATTTAGGAGCTGACTCACCTTTAGCACAGCCTGGGGCACTTCTGGCAGGAACATCATAATATTCCTACTGAAATAACATCTATCGTGAATGTAGTTTGCAATTTTATTGTTTGCCATGCAATGTTTGAGATTGCAGTTGTTTTAAAAGGGATAGTCCGGTGATTTTTGAAGTGGTGTTTTGTCATGTAATATAGATTCTTGAAGTCGACGTCATCCGTCACATGATGTTAAATCACTATTTTCAGCTGGGAAACAGCGTCGTGTTGTGGACAGCTGATAGACAAGTGAAGCAGAATATTTCTATTTTTGTTCACATATTCCTTCAAATATATGCAGGAATGTTGTAAGGATGCTCATAAACTCCCACAGGATACGTGGCTCAATGACCCGACAGCGTGACCTGAGTTAAACGAAGAATGAAGATGTGCAGCTAACCCATAACGAGCACACGTAAGACTTGTTTTCTAATAACTTACAGTTGCAAAGCTTTTCATTAAATGTTAATATTCATTATATTTGGTGTCATGATGTTTATGACAACTGACAAAACGAAGATCAACCGTAACGCCATCTAATTTATGTAATAGCACTTATTAAACAATTTAAGATAATAGAATGTCAAATATTTATAACAAATATATAAATGGATTTTAGGTTTTTATTCACTCGAGATAATGGTGAACTACAGATCCAGATCCAGAGATAATCATTATATCTCTATACTTTAAGTAGCAAAAGTACATACCAGTGATAAAATGTGCCGAACAGACGTATGTGTGTTCCGCAGTGACCAAAGTTTGCCTACAGCCGCTTTCCATTTTTCTCTTCTTTTGCAGATGGAAAAATTTAATATTTTCTGTCTGGACATTTCTTCTTGTTACACATCATTCATTCATTCATTCATTCACAGCAACGTCTCACTATTTTGTCAACTTTTCCCCAAAACAATATATCAGCCTAAAAGGGTGGAAGTCTTCCCCCAGGCTAGGCTAACGGCTAGCTCTTATTATCTCATTATTCAGGTTCATACCATACCATACCATACCATATATACCCTACCATACTATGCTATACCATACAATACCATACCATACCATGCTATACCATACCATACCATGCTATACCATACCATGATTCAGTGATTTAATTACTTGCCCATGGTCTGCAGAAGCCTGTTAATCACTCATTCATTTAAATCAGATGTGTCAAAGCAGGGAAGCAACTAAAACATGCAGGGTGGTGTTCCTCAAGGACCAGGGTTGGGAACCATTGGGTTTTAACTATTGATGACTATTTGACAGAAGATTACTTCGAAAAGAACCAGACTATTCCTTTAAGCAGAGCCAGTCTGTTTGGGTCTTGGCCTCACTCAGACTAGCTGTATGTTGTTGCGTTTGTGTTTTCAGCTTTGTAATGCTTTCCTGTTGTCATGTATTCAGTTCTGTTTCTTGAGCTGTCTGTTTTCTGATCATCAGTCTGTTTGACAGTTTCAGTTTTCCCTGCTCCTCTGTCTTGCCATGCCCACTCACATCTGTTCTCGTGTTATCTACTCAAGTGCATCTGGTTCTTTTAGTCTTTGGTTATTTATGCTCTCTGTGTCCCTGCTTTTTCAGTCTGGCATTAATTGTCTTCCATACTCTGTCAATCTGTGTGTCCATGAATGTCTTCTGAACTTGTGTCTGTCCCCGTTGAAGGTGTTTTCAGTATTCCGGTGAGGTTAGATTTTTGCCCGTGTGTTGCCATATCAGCCTTTTTTTGTTTTTCTAGTTTATTAATAAAAACGAGTTTTCATTTTAGCTCCTCGCCTCGGTCGACATTCTGGGTCCATCTGTTAAAACAGTCCAGTACATACTGGTACACTGCGTTTTTACTGTAGTTTATTGTTATTGTTTACTGTTACTGTTGTCTGTACTTTATATGTTCTGTCTGAAACAGGTCTCTCTTGTAAATGAGTCCTGGTGGCTCAATGAGACTAGCCTGTATAAATAAAGGTTGAATGAATGAAAAAATAAGAAAAAAAAACACTGGAAGCTCTTCAATCAGGTAAAAAATGTCCAAACTGAGGTCATTCAAAAAGCTATCTGCAACAGGTAAGACATTTATTATTTATGTAGCTTTGCACACATTACAAACAAAAAAAAGATCTGAATTTTTGTCCCATTCCTTAAGTCTGATAAAAAGAAATGGGTTTAGGCAGAGTTTTTAGCATTGACTGTGGTTCTGGATGCAATAACCGCCTTCTACTCAAGTAAAAATATTATAATTGCCGTACTTTTCTGTTTCAGAAGAAAACATGTTCCTACGTACTTGCTCAGCCACCTCACGGACACTTTGGACGCTCGTCCCGTACAAGTGACTGTTGTACTGTCCCGCCTCGATGAAGCGGTGGCTCTGGATGTCCTTCTCCATCTGCTCTCGAGAGGACACAAAATGATAGTCTCGCCCGTCCACCTCGTACTCCCTCTTGGGTCGCGTGGTGTCTGACGAAAGAAGAGCGAGACGATAAAAACGAGGCTAGCGCCACTCTGCATTTCAAAATTGAAGCTATTAGTTCCGTGCAGGCGTCACCCTGGAATGGCTGCAGGTGGCAGCGTCGACATCGAATGAAAAAGACAAAACCACACTGCAGAACATATTCGTCTTTAGGAGTGACAGCGTAATTACTCACGAGGGACACAAGATCCAAACTTATCAGGGAACTCAGACAACAGGTCATCATTTATCCTGTCCTTCACCGGACCCAGAATGATGATGGGCCTCGCGTAATGGACTGATGGGGAGGAGAGAGAGAGCGCAGGATCAGTCACAAAAGGGAAATCAAAGCAAAACTGAAACGTCATATTAAAGCCTTGAATAGAGGGCTTCAAACGCTGCGTGGTGCCGTCTCACCTTCCACTTGAGTAACTGTCTCATAACTGTGTGGGGTTTTATCTCTCCCTGGTGACAGAACAAAGAAGCATTCAGCCACGTGTTTTTCAAAAAGACGTTCAGCTTTGTGTCGTGTCGGCGAGCATCTTCCATCGATTTTTCTGCTGTTTCGTACGCGACCATAAATAAAACAAACGGCAGGGTGTTGTTTGTGCATGCAAATTACAGTCAGGCTCATTTATGATTGATGGAGTTCAGCGTATCCAGAGTAAGTTTTTAGTCGTCTCCGTTAACGATCCAGATCGTGCTAATTGGTGTCACGAAGCTGGTAATCAACTCTGTAGGCCAGAAACAATTTTATGGCTCTGATTTGTTGCACAGTTGTAGGAAAACAGGTGAAGCTGCAAACAAGCAATGACAATCACAGATGCAAAGCTGCATTCAGTCCGTTTGATCACAACAGAAAACCAGTCTAATGTAAGAATGTTAAAACGGCTGCACCAAAGTTCATGCTCAGTAATTCAGGTATAAAATCCACCAATAACAATATTCAGTCAGGTCATCTGGATGGTTTGTTTTTAGCTGAGACGTTTCGTCCTTCATCCAAAGGACTTCTTCAATGTGAGGAGCCAGCAAACAAAACTGATTCCCACAAATAGCATACTCCATAGTGGAAAAAAAAAAACAGTCATCTGGTGTTAAATGCCACAGAAGTGGTGCTGCCACTATGGAGTAAGCTGTTTGTGAGAATCAGTTTTGTTTGGTGGCTCCTCCGACTGAAGAAGTCCTTTGGATGAAGGACGAAACGTCTCAGGTAAAAAATAAACTGTCCAGATGACCTGACTGAGCATCGTTGGGTTAAAACGATTGGTTTTTAAAGTAGGTTTCTATGGAATGTTTATGAACAATTATTTCATTATCTGTTTGATTCTGACTGGATTGACGAGTTTACAGCCTGGTTGAGTTGGGCCGAGCCCAAAGTGGATTGCTGCGGTTTTGAAACAGCTTGAATCTGAAAAGTTTCACAGAAGTCACGTTAAACTCTGTTTTGTAAACTGTCACACCTCTATCAGACTTTTTTACGACACAGGTCATCCAGCAGAAATATAATAACGCCTGCTAGAAGTGTCCCGGACTGCACGGGAAGAGCTGCAGCTGGCTGCTGCTGTTTAGATGAGCAAATTAACCAAATATTTCTATGTCAGTGGCCATGTAATGACATGCTATCAGCAAAGTAAACGTTCATCAAGTAGCGTTTGCATAAACATATTTAAAATAAATTGTTTTAAAAGGCCAATAACACACTTTTGTCTTTGCTTTGATCGAACCGGCTCATTGATCATCAGAATTAGTCTTTATTTTTTCAATCTGAGGTCATTCAAAGAGCCATCTACTGCAGGTAAGATATTGTTTACAACCCTTCCACAGAACCTACATTAAAAAAAATCCAAACTATTCCTTTAGTATTCCACATGACAACTGCTCCATTCAAACAGGAAGAATACACTTTAAAAGAACAACCCAAATGTGTGCGTGCACATAAACTAACCAGCTTTTCAACACCGTTGAGGCAGGCGTGGGGTTCAACAGGACTGTGCTTTGTATTGAACGCATTTACTGCAGGTACAATTTACTTTTTAGAACGTTTTAGTCTCATTCAATCAAATCCAAGACTATCTGTTCTAAACGCCACAGGTGCTAAATAAACAAGACGCAGATAAAAGGATTTCAAACAGCGAGTGGGCTCGTGGCAGACGCTCATTCGCCTCCATTCAGGTGCTGCAAATGAAAAAACGCTGTTCGGGGAGTTTAATTAGCTTTACAACATTTTAGAACGCGGAACGTGAAGAAATAGCATCAGGCTGAAAATGATGCTTTTCACTGAACTGTCAGTGGGATTTATAAAGCGATGCTTAATTTATTTGTTTGATTTATTTTAAATAATTTGTTTAAAGTTGTGAACAATGTGGTAATCAGCTTAAATTAGCAACAAGTCACAGCCTACTCACCCTGAGTGCTCATGTTGTCTCGACCGTGGTCCTGTAAACGGAGACAAAATGTAAAAATAAAAAAAATTAAACACTGGGAGACAGTTTGGATGAAACAGCAGTTCACTGAACGAGCATACCCTCTCTTTGGTGTTAACGCGAGACCACTCTTTTCTCTCCACCCTGTAAGACACGACACATTTTGTTGACTACGTTTACAGCACCCAGGTTGGGGTCGTCGCACGCTGCCGGTGAAAACGGCGTCTGACCTCTGCTTGCTCGGGATGAAGCCGACCTCCTCGGCCTCGTTCTGCGGGCTGACCTTACGGGCCTGCCACCACTCCTCGTCTCCGCAGTCCAACACGTGCAGCACGTCCCCGAACCTGAAGCCCAGAGCTTGGCTCAGGAAGCCACAGTCTGCAGTCTTGTCGTAGTCAAAAAGAGCCCTGAGTGACGTGAGAGTGAAAGAAATCGTTTAAGCCTCCACCCAGCCAGATCTAATCCACGGAAGTCCCAGGTCCATAACTGAAACATTTTTACAAACGATGGAAAACATTCTGACCGCTGCTTTAGTGATTTTCAAGTGCACGTGATTGAACGTCTAAGAGGGTAAAAAGTGTGTAAATTATAAACGCGGCTCATCAACATTTTTTATTCAGTGCTTTAATGGAACGAGAGCGATGGACAAAGTTTTGGAGGAAAACTAGAGCAAATATACTCATCTAAAGTAGACCCGTGTGTTCTTTCTATTATTTTAATCACACGATCTGACAGAATACCCAGGATGACTAAAACCCCTAAGATTAAATAATAAATAACTAAAAAGGCTAGACAAGAGCATCCCATACGGCACATTTTTTCAACCAACTATTCTACAGCAAGGGCACGGACAAGCAAATATCTAATTTTAACTTTGACCTTGATTTGTGACCTTGACTTTGGAGCTGTCGTGATAAAAAATTTGCATGACGCTCGGTCTAGAGATGATGCATATGACGTTTCAATAAATTATCTTGGGCGGATCAGACAAGAGAAAGTTTATGGATGTACGGACGGACTATATCATACTACATGCACCTTTCAACAGCCGTATTAAAAAGGGGTCAAACTTTGAGCAGATTCATCATATTTACACACAAAATTAATAATTTGATCTTTTAAAATACAACTTACATCTCATTTACTTTGTCTGTAGAGGTTAGAAAACTAAAATCAAGAAACCAGCTTCTGACCTTTGATTTCCCCGATAAAAGGAAGCGAGTCACAGATTTGGGTGTTTGAACGTCGTGTGCTCTCGCTCTACACTGAGTTCATCAGGTGTGGGATGTCAGCAGCCTTCCTGCACCAGAAAGTCTTGTGAAGGTGACGGAGAGGGTTAAAAAGCTCTCCCTCGAGGACCACACGACGAGCCACAGAAGGTTTTATCAGACCCGTCACAAATACTTCACACTGATTATGAGCTCTTGTGTTCTGGCAGACGGTGCAGAGTCTCTAAAATCAAACTGCGTTGAGTTTAAGAACTCTTAAAGTTATTATCTCACCGGGCTGCGACTGATCACTGATAAAGAGGACGTTTTCCAAATGTCTTGAAATGTTCCCAAGTGTTCTCAGTTTTCTTGCTTGAGTGGCAGAGCCTTGCTCCTGGAGTTAATGGAAATTTGAACATGTTTGAAACTTTTCATCAAATAAGCATCGGAGCCTGAAATCCAACTGGAAACCTTCTCTGTTCAGTTTCTGTGAGACGAGAGGGAGACATTCGAGATAGCTTTGTGGAGATTTAGTAACTAAACTGTGGAAAATAAAACGTGATAAAGCTGAGACATAACTAAGACGCTGATAGTTTAGCAAGTTTTTACACTTTGGGCCTCTTAGGCCAGAGGTCTGCAACGTGTGGCTCTTTAATGTTTTAACATGAAATGCAATCATTTTACACACTTTGAATTTGTACCATTTACTTCACAGGGGATACCTTATAATTTTCCAACAAATAAAAGGAGGACCCATTGGCCTGCAGAGGTTAGTGTTTTAATTCTTATCAGTATTGGTATAAATCATATACTTTTTTCCCTTCTTTACATAATTAAGGTTGTTTTTTTGGTCCTAAAATGTAAAAATATATTTACACGTTAATATTCATTATTTATTTTTGGCTGTAAAACCCTGGAAGCCCTAGATGCATGTCTTTTTATCGGAAGCTCTGCGATTTTAATGTTGATTCAACTTTTATAAGAATGTTTTGTTCATGTTTTATTGAGTCTCTTAACTTTCACTTTCATCTGTTGGTTTGAACTTTTGACATGCAAAAAACTGGAACAAACTCTTGGGATTGTCAAAATTGCTGAGATAGCCCTACAGAACCTCACTGACCCACGCAAGGAGAGGTCAGGGAACAAGGCCAGGCATATTCTGGCAGATCCTGATCACCCACTCCATGGTGAGTTCAGGTGCTTCCATCTGGACGCAGGTATCTGAAGCCCAGATGTAGAACGAACAGACTGAAAAATTCATGTATCTCTGTAGTTATCAGGCTTCTCAATAAACACTGATGACTTCTGTACTGTAACGTCTCAATGTCTTGTGTAGTATGGATGTTTTATATCTCTACTGACTGAAACAAAATGCCCCTCAAGGATAATAAAGCTTCTTGAACTCTGAACTCTGCTCCACAGAGGGCTGTGGTAGCTCGGTGGTCTGTGGTTGCATCAGGAAGGGCATCTGGCCTCAAAACAATTGCCAAGTCTTTGTGAGAGTTAATTCACTGTGGCGACCCGTGAAGAAGAGAGCAGCCAAAAACATAATATGAAATAATTGGTCCGTAACTCCACCCCCAACAAACAAAGTGGCCCATGGGCCACCAGTTGGTAGTCACAGTTGTTGCAGGTTTTGCAGCTCCATGCATGTGAAACAGATTTTTTTCTTTCTAAATGTTTCTTGTGCAACACGCGAGTGGGTTTTTACTCTTTACATCCAAACAAACTATTTCGTCGAACAAGACGAGAGGCAGAAGATCGCAGAGACGTCCGGCCAGGAGCGAGGCGGCTCCTCCAGGGTGAGCGTAAATGTTTTTCAGAGGCTCTCAAACAAAAAAGCAAAGTACCACATAGAGAGCTAATATAAAAATCCAAAGTATAGGGATAGAGGTAAAAAGAAGAAAAAAAACATTACAGAGAGGAATGCATTATTTCATATGATAATATGAAATTAAAAGTGGTATTTGCAGCGCATTTTAATGTTTCCAAAGTCTGATAAAAATAAGTAGGACTTTAAGCCTTTTGCAGAAAAGACTGACTGAACTAAAATAAATAAAAACATAAAATTAATGTGCGCCCATAAGTTCTTCCGAGGGTTAATCTGATTGTTGCCCAGTAGCTGCTGCAGTTCAACGTGCACGAACACCAGTTTATTTTAATACCTGATGTAGAAACCTCTCTTTGGGTTACTCCTTAACGTTGTTGTCCCGGAGCCCATGCTGCTGTTCATCAGCTGCTCCCTCAAATCATGAATCTTAGCCTCAAAACGGCTGTACTCTGGAAGGGAAAAACAAAAGGATGAAACCCCGCAGATCAGTACAAAACTAGAGTACCTATAATATATTTTTTAAGTATTTTATGAACATAGCTGTGTGAAAACAGGCAAGATGCTTTCTTTTACCTTCAGGTCTGTACTGAGCGATGATGGTTACAGTCTGACCCGCGTTCTTCAGCGCTGCAGCGGCCTGTTCATGCGTGGCCATACGCAGATCCACGCCATTAACCTGCCCCACACACACAGCACGAGTGTTTACAACCACGCTGCAGCGAAATGCACGAGCGCGCGTGCACGTGTGAAACTGATGCGGCAGAAAACGTCATTACGCTGAGGATCTGGTCGCCCTTGTGAAGCTCTCCGCTGAGATCAGCCGGCCCTCCTGCCAGGATGAAGGAGATAAAGATCCCCTCTCCGTCTTCTCCTCCGACGATGTTGAATCCCAGACCCGTCGAGCCTCGGTGGATCAAGATGCGCCGAGGCTCCCTGAGTGGCGCCACAGGAAATCTGAGTCCATCTTTCCTCATTAAATGCTAACAGTAAAAGGTGCAGGAGGGCTCACCTCGGGACGTCATCGTCGCCCATCAAGCCGTGCAGAACAGGAGAAAACCGACTCGGTGAGGTCGGAGTGAGGGCTTGTGGGTAATCGGAGCCTAGATAGTTGGGATGGCTGAGCTCGGTATCCATATGGGAATATGCTGGAAAAAGACACGACAAACCAACAGAGGTGTCACATATCAGAGCACCCCTGGGCAGGAGAAGCAACAACTCACTAATAGACAGTGTTTGCTCTTTAAATCACTTTTTAAGTGTGTAAACAAATCTATCTTTAAATGTTTTGTGGTTAGAGGTGTTGTGCTGTGGATGTAAATGAGTCTGCATTAACAGATCCTAAATGAGAGTTTGGAGACATCAGAGCTCACGCTCAATAATCCAGGTAAAAAAATCCAACAAAGTTCAGTCAGGTCCTCTGGACGGTTTCTTTTTATTGTTGAGATGTTTTGTCCTTCATCCAAAGGACTTCATCAGTTCAAGGAGCCACAACAAACTCAGTCCCATAAGTAGCACACTCCCATAGTGGGCCAACCAGTTTGCTGGTGATGGGATGGTTTCTGGGGTCCACCCTCTCCCCCACCGACTCCTCTGAGGCAGTCATAACCAAAGTGGTTCAAAACATCAAAGTTCATGCTCAATAATCCAGGTAGAAAATCCAACAAATTAAGTCAGGTCATCTGGACGGTTTCTTTTTTCGTTGAGACGTTTTGTCTTTCATCCAAAGGACTTCTTCAGTCCTGAACTGACTTAACTTTGTTGGATTTTCTACCTGGATTA